CGACTCTAAATGAACGTACCTGTAGGGCATTTCTCGTGACCAGCTCATTGACTCTGGCCTTGACGTCGTCGATTTCCCTCTGCGCCATCATCTTGGCCTCCTTCGCATGTGCCTGAGCCAACTCGCTCTCTTGCATCAGCCGTTGTTTGTCCTGTGAATGTCAATAGATGTACGCAAGCGCTACTGCTCAGTACGAACTCTGCAGGTGTTGTGCCCATAAGGCTATGCTTATCAATACTGCGATACACCTGCGTGTCTTGTGCACGTGTGTAGGTGTAGAGCTCGTCTCACAGCTGAGCTTACTCTACTAGAGCGCCAGACTACAGCCATGCTCCAGTGCTGTATACATTTTTTTTAAAGTGCGGTACTAGAGGGAAAGACCACAGCCATGCTCCAGTGCTGTATGCATTTTTTAAAAGTGCGGTACTGTTCAGTGTCCTCCTACTTGACCGGACCATTAAGAGTATCTCGTACCCGATTATCACAATTCCTTCGTACCGTGCACTGTGACCCCAAACCAAACCGTTTTTCGGCCAGCTCATATCAACACGTTACCAAATCTCCAACACACGACGCAACATCCAATCCACGAGCCTTCCCTACACCTCAAACTCGTAGACACATCCCTAATCAATCCCTTCACCCCCGTGCGAGCGAACATAACAGCCTAACTTACCTCGCGTAGCACACTGAGTTCGTTGCTGACAGCGTTGTTTAGGCTATCGCGGGTCTCCGCACCCAAAGACTGTAGCTGTAGCTGCCGTTCCTCGGCCTGTTGCTTGTACTTATAGCTCAGCTTCTGCAGTGCTTGCAGTTTCTCTATGAGCTGGTGTCGAGTAGCGGCAGCCTGGAAGATGGGTGACGGACACCCGATTTAATATGATGATTACATACATCGTATGGGAATAAATAACAATTGATCACATCTTATGAGTGTGTACAATTGTAAAATGATGATTAAGCTGAACCATCATGCTGTGTGTGGCATACGTATGCAGGTAGATGTATACGTGAGTGTGTATATACATTGTACACATGTATATCCACATGTGCATATTGATTCGTTTGTATTCAAAGCAATATAATCATTCATACTTCTATACATAGTGTGCATTTGTTTATAT